CTGAGGATCGAACCTGGGCCGCACGCATGCCTGGCGAGCGCGCTACCGCTTGAGCCACATCCCCAGCCCGAGCCACTGGGATTATAAGTGTGTGCCACTGGCCTGTCCTGTTGCAGATTTTATGCCAATTTTTTTTTAGAACAGTAGAGTGTGGGGGGCTTTTATTTGTAGCTCAGTGGTATAGAGTGCTTACTTAGCAGGTGTGAGGTGCTGGGTTAGATCTTCAGCACCACATAAAAAAATAAGTAGGGGCTGGGATTGTGGCTCAGTGGTACAGTGCTTGCCTAGCATGTGTGAGGCACTGGGTTTGATCCCTAGCACCACATCAGCAAATTAAATAAACAAAATAAAGGTATTGTGTCCATCTACAACTTAACAAAAAAATTAAAAAAAAAAAAAAAAACCAGTGGAGTGTGACTATTATGTGCAGCTCTTTTTTTAAAAAAATTCTGCTGTTATTACTCAAATATCATTTATTATTGAACTTCTTTAGTGCAAGAGAAGGATGCTTGGAATGCTTGTGAATATACATTAAAACTGAGTAGTCCAAATCAACAAAGATCATTTCTTTGACAGTTTATTGAACATTTTTCTGGTCTGAAAAAACTAAAAACATTAGTTCTTCAGGATTTGTGCATTATAGTTGAAATATTACACTTGAAAATTTTACAAAATTTGCAAAATATGGACTTAAAAAATCTGTGTCCAAAGATTCTGCCATTTTATTATTGGGTTTGTTATCTGATGGTGCTGTCCTCAGTGACACTTGTTTAGTACTGCAGCACTTATGAGCTTGTACAGACAATTCTAGGCTTGGCTTGCAGTGTCCACAAGGACAAATGTGCATCCATATGCCACTGGTGAATAGTTTGCTGCTCTGTTTAATCTTTTAAGTGGCATGAAGAACAAGATTAATTATACCATGTGATGATTATGCAACAAAAGGTTATAAACCAATTTTTTGACTGAAAAATCAGAGTGCAACAATTATGCAGTAAAATATAGTAAGCCAGGCAAGGTACACAAGCCTTGTTCCCCCCTGGAAAATATCTGTTACTCACAAAATAACTGCTATTTGGGATATTGAGGCAAAAAAGGCCAGCCGGGGCAATTTAGTGAGATGCTGTCTCAAAATTAAAAGGATTAGGGGTGTGGATAATGATAGTGGGTCCCTGGGTTCAATCCCCAGTACTGCCTATAAAAAAAAAAAAAAGGTATGTAAATAATTAGTGGACAATCTGAGAGCAAAGCCTGGATTCCTAGAAAGTAATTTTATAAATTATAACCCACAAATTGAGTAATGCCTGTCTCCAGACTTTTAGGTTGAAAGTCACCTGTGTTGTGTGTGAGATTACTATAAGTATCACGTCTGAGGGATGGTATTATGGTGGCATAACTGAAAGACAGTTAAGTGTAAACTAGGAAAAGTACTGATTGAGGGAGAACTAATTTTTGACCACTTTTGTACACTTTACATCTCTATCGCTATTATTTCCATTTTATTACTTAGGATAGGAAGCACAGAGAGGCTATTTCTTGATCCAGGTCAGTTAGTAAGTAAGTGATTGAGGTGAGTTTGACTTACAGGTTTGTCTTAACATCAAAGTCCTGTGCTCCAAAGGGCAACTGTTTTTCCCTGGTAGCATAACAAGTGCTTCAGTACTTGATCTTTTCAGATCATTCTTAGTAGAGAGTGTTATACACAGTCTTCCTTTAGTTACTCTAATGATATATTTAATTTATGGTAGCTATTTTAATATATTAATAGTAAAACATTTAAGAAACATAACAGTATGTCTGTGTGTATGTGTTTTAATTATGTGTGTTCCTTTTTTTTTTTTTAAACCAGTTGTCATCTACCTTCCAAAAATAAGAAGGTTTAATGTTGTTAACCCTCCATTCTGACTAGATGTTTTAATGAATATTTTGGAAATTGTAATATTCTTCTATCACTTGAAGGCAGAGGAATTGATTATTCACATGTATATTCTTAGCTCTTTTCCTTTAGTAATAGACAAAGTAATATTACTTTGATCTTACCTAAGGAAATATGTCCATTGTACCTTAAAGAGTTTTAAGATAAAGCTGGACTGTGTAGTGGTTGGAAACTGAAAGTAAATCCCTTTGATAAGGTGTGTGAATATTCACAACTCAAACTGAAATAGGTTTTTCTTAGGTATATTGTGAATTACTAGATCCTGTATACATCATAACAAGTTTGGAGACAGTACATCGTGTATGGTCTGTATACTCCCTTTAAAAAAAAAAAAACAATACTGGGGATTGAACCCAGAGGCACTTCTACTGAGTACGACTCTAGCTCTTTTTAAAGACAGGATCCCACAACTTTCAATCCTTCTGCCTCAAACTTTCAATCCTCCTGCCTCAGCCTCCTGAGTCTCCGGGATTACAGGTGTGTGCCACTATGCCCAGAAAAACATTGTTATGTGGTGTACTGGAAAGGCATTGGACCTAGAGCTTAAAGATTTGGGCATTTTGGCCCATATCTGTAATCCTATAACTTGGGATGCTGAAGTAGGAGGATTGCAAGTTTGAGGCCAGCCTCAGTAACTTAGTGAGACTCTTTAAATTTAGAGCAATTTAGTGAGACCCTTTCTTGAAATACAAAATAAAATTAAAAAAAAAAAAAAAAGGGCTGGGAGCAGCTTAAGAGGCTGAAGTAGGAGGATCATAAGTTGAAAGCCAGCCTCAGCAATTTAGTGAGGCCCTAAGAAACTCAGTAACACCTTGTCTCTAAATAAAATATAAAAAGGGCTAGGGATGTGATTCTGTGGTTGAGTGCCCTTGGGTTCAATCCTTGAAGGTCTGGGGATGTGGTTCAATGGTAAAGTACCCCTGGGTTCAATCTGCAGTACCAACTGAAAAGAAATTACAGTTCTTATCATTAAGCAATGGCTTGCTTTGGAGTCAATTAACATTTATCCACAATATTCTAATTGGAGAAATGGGGATAATTGCATTAAAAAAGGGTTTTGTAAGACACACAGTCTTAGCTTTCTTCTTTTGTGGTGCTGGGGATTTGAACCAAGGGCCTTGTGTATATGAGGCAAGCACTCTACCAACTGAGCTATATCTCCAGCCCATTCGCTATCTATTATTTGTTTATTTTTGGTATGGTGGATTGAACCCGGGGTGCTTTAACATTAAACTACATCCCCACTTTATATTTTGGGACAGTGTCTTGCTAATTTGCTGAGGCTGACTTGCAATTCTCAGAACTTGCAGTTCTCTGACTCTGCTCCTGTGTTGTTGGGATTTACAGGCATATGCCTGAGTAACACCTGACTTGGCTATTTTTTGGGAGGGTAGGGTACTAGATTGAATTCACAGGCGCTTAACCACTGAATCACATCCCTAACCTTTTTTTTTAATGAATTTTTAAAAATATTTTTTTAGTTGTCAATGGACCTTTATTTTTTTATTTACTTATATGTGGTGATGAGAATTGAACCCAGTGCCTCACACTCTGCCATTGTGCACAATCCCAGTACCCTCAGCCCTTTTCATTTATTTATTTATTTTTAAATTTTGAGACAGGGCTTTCTGTGGTCCTGACTCTGGTTTTTAACTTTGTGATCCTTGTCCATCAGCCTCTTGTTTAAAAAATATATATATTATTTTACTTGTAGATGGACATAATACCTTTATTTATCTATTTATTTATGTATATATATATAAAATTTATGGTGCTGGGGATCCGAACCCAGTGCTTCATGCATGCTAGATAAGCGCTCTACCATGAGCCACAGTCCCATCCCTTCAATCAGCCTCTTTGAGCCACTGGGATTATAGGCTTGCCACCACTATGCCTGGCTCGATATTCTTTTTATGGCATCCTTTTCAAAATCTACATTGATTTCTGATTGTGATAGAATAAATGTTCCCTAAAAAGTCTTTGAAGGTCCTATTTTAGTAAAAGCATATCAGTTTCTCAGTTTCTGTAGCACATAGTGGCTTTGCTTATTACCTTTACCTACCTTATGCTTTTTTTTTTTTTTTTTTTTGGAGACAGGGTCTCAGTGTGTTGCTAAGGCTGGCCTTGAGCTCAGATCTTTCAACCTCAGCCTCCTGAGCAGCTGGGTTTATACAGGCGTATACCACTATTCCCAGCTAACCTCATGTTACCTTAATCACTCCTTTGTACCTTTTAAAATCTTACCTAATTTTAAAGACTTTTAAGATTGCAGTTATTTGAAGAATTTCCAGATTTACATTCTAGAAGAATTCTTCATTGCGTTCAAATGTACTTCCTAGAGTTTGAGATTAAACCATAAGAAATGGTTTCTATAGGTTAAAGAAAACAGGGTAATCCAGCCTATGTGGTGCATACCTGTAGATAGCCTCAGTCAGCTACCTGAGAGATTGAGAGGTAGGAGGATTGCAGGTTCAGCAGTTTAGCGAGGCCCTAAGCAATTTAGGGTCTATCTCAAAATTAAAAAAAAAAAAAAGTTTAAAAATGGCAAATAACTGGATTTTCAAATGGTTTGAAGATGTTAAGCACCTCCTAGGACAGTGAGCTTTCCTCAGTAGTGTAGAGCTGACTACTAAGGTTAATTATGTGGAAAGTTTTTTTTTTTTTTAATATTTTTTAGATGTGGTTGGACACAATACCTTTATTTTATTTTAAATCTTTTTTTTTTTTTTTTTAATATTCTTTTAGTTGTAGATGGACACAACATCTTTATTTTTACGTGGTGCAGAGGATCGAATTCAGGGCCTCACACCTACAAGGCAGGCACTCTACCACTGAGCCCCAGCCCACCTTATTTTTATTTATTTTTATGTGGTGCTGATGATCAAACCCAGGGACTTGCTATTGCTAGGCTGGTGCTCAAGAACTGAGCCACAACCCCAGCCCCATATTTGGAAAGTTTTTATTCTCCTGTACTTATTCCTTTGAAGCCTTCTGTCTTGAAGGAATTTGTTAGTTTTTTTTTTTTTAATGACCTTGAATGCTATTTACACTGGAAATAAATTAATGTATTAAAAACACTCATGGTACTTTTTAGATACATAATCTTATGCTATTTTATGTAAATGCTTATTAATACAAACTTGTGAGCTCTTTAGTATCCTTTATTCTTTTTCACTCATGTAGCATATAACAGGGTTTTGTACTTAATAAATGCTTAATAAATATTTGATTGGTTTTCTGAATTATAGAATTATTCTGTTCATTTGTCCTGGGAGCAGGGAGTTTTTAGTTTAGAGGTTGCATTAAATTTCACTCTTTATTATGATACTGGCTGTGATATAGCAGAACTATAGCCTTTTGTCATAGTGAGTATCAAACAAAAGATTTGTTTTCTGGCATGTTTATGTGACGACTTCTGAGGGCCAAAATATTGGTCAGGTTTAGTTCTGCATCTAATAAATTGCCTTTATTCCTTAGTAAATCAGAATCTATTGGTTTTCCCTAATAGGTAAAGTGTTTTTCTGTAGCTGATTTCTTTCTTCCTTCTTTTTTTTTCCCTCTTTCCTTTCTCCTATTCTTCCAGGACTTACAGTAGGGTTTCACTGTGTTCAGATTTGGTAATTTCTGTTCTTTCTTCTGTTAACTGTTTAGGTTTCTTTGTCCTCTCCGTTGTTGAGCCTGTTTATACTGAGCCTATCCCTTGCCACTTTGCACAAGGGATTGAGCCCAGAGGAATTCTGTCTGAGCCACACCCCCAAACATTTTTTATGTTGATACAGGGTCACTTTAAGTTGCTGAGGCTTTCTTGACCTTGAGATCCTCCTGCCTCAGCCTCCACAGTACTAGGGTTATAGGTATGTGCCATTGGCCTGGCTTATGTTTTCATTTGTTTTAAACATTTCATGATTGCTTATTGAAGTGTTTTTTCTTATGGCTGCTTTAAAATCTTCATTAGAAGCCAGGTGCAGAGGTGCATGACTGTAATCCCAGCGGCTGGAGAGGCTGAGGCAGAAGGATCATGAGTTCAAACCCAGTCTCAGCAAAATCGAGGCTGCTAAGCAAGTCAGTGAGATCCTGTCTCAAAATATGAAATAGGGTGGGGATGTGGCTCCAGTGGCCCTGAGTTCAATCCCTGCCCCCCGCCCCAGAGGGGTGGGAATCTTCATCAGATAATTCTAACATCTATCTTTTTGGCATGTCTTTTCATTTGGTTGGAATCTTTGTGGGTTTTGGTATGATGTGATTTTTGGTTGAATCTTGGACATTTTCGGCTTATATTGTTAGACTTTGGATCTTATTTAAATTTTACCTTTTTTGGACACTTGCATCAGGGCAAGGGGGATGGGGTGCTATCACCATGTTATTACTACTTTTTTTAGAAGTCAGATCCCTCAGTCACCATTGACAGGTGAGGGCAAAGATTCCTTGTTATTAGTGTGGGGAAGCGAAGCAGGATTTGTAGGACTTTCACATGGTAAGGTAGCTTTATTCTTAGTGAAAGTCCTGGCTCTTCACTGGGCTTCCTCTGGCACCTGGTGGAGATATTGGTGCCTCAAAGCAATTTAATGAAGGTGGAAATCTAGGTTCCCTCCTTAGTCTTTGCTTGGAGTGGAGGGCAATGGCCACCAGTGTGCTGCTGGAGGTAATCATTATTGTCTAATAAAAGAAAACTGTCTTAATTGCGTTTTTCCTGGTCCTTTGACTAGAGAAAGCTGGCTTTTATTGAACCCTTTGTTTTTTTTGGCGTGGGGGGCGGTTGGGGAGTCATCTGTGCATTTTGTTGTTTTTGGTTTGCTGAAGCTTCACTTCCAAATTTGAGGTGAAAAGAAAATCCAGTAAAAGTAGGTAATTCATGACTGTCATTCATTCCTTGGGCCCCAAGCTGCATATATGGTCATCACCTTTCAGAGTTTTAGGTTAGTTTTATATGTAATGCACAGGTTTTTAGTTCTATAAGCAGGAGGAACAGAGAAAAATACATGCATTCCATCTTCTTGGAAACAGACATTCTCTTAAAAATTATTGCAGTGCAAACATCTTTAAATATCTGTCTTTTTTTTACCTTCTTTTTGCCAATTTATTCAGTCTTAAGTCTCCATTATGTCCTTGATTTAGAATTTCTTGATTGTATGATAGTGTGAAAACAATATGCATTTAATAAAAGCAATACTTCAGATTTTGAATTTGAATCTTTTCTCAAGATAGCTATGTATACAGTATGATTCCCTTAAAATGCTGGGCAGCCACAGCAAACAGTAGCTTCCAATCAGCTATACAGTCAAGCCGGAAACAGCTATGTTTAGTAGGCTAAGGTGTATTGAATACATTTTTTAAAAAATATTTATTTTTTAGTTTTAGGTGGACACAATATCTTTATTTTACATTTATGTGGTGCTGAGAATTGAACCTAGGGTCTCATGCATACTAGGCAAGCACTCTACCACTGAGCCACAATCCCAGCCCCTTGAACACATTTTTTTTTAAAATATTTATTTATTTTTAGTTATTGGCGGACACAACATCTTTGTTTGTATGTGGTGCTGAGGATCGAACCCAGGCCGCACGCGTGCCAGGCAAGCGCGCTACTGCTTGAGCCACATCCCTAGCCCCTGAACTCATTTTTTTTAAAAATATTTTTTTAGTTGTAGATGAACACAATATCTTTATATGTGGTGCTGAGGATCAGCAGTACCTCACATGTGCAGGGCAAGCACTCTATCCCGGAGCTACAGCCCCATCCCAATCACATTTTGTATTTAGCATTACTTACAGTGGGCCTATTTGTAATTAACACAATTTGAAGTTTAACAGCACTAGTTGCATTTACATGTAATGAAATTAACTGTTTTTTCTCTTTATTGCAGATTCTGATGCTCACAGTACCACCTCAAGTGCCTCCCCAGCTCAATCTCCTTGTTATAGTAACCAGTCAGATGACGGCTCAGATACAGAAATGGCTTCTGGCTCTAATAGAACACCAGTTTTTTCCTTTTTAGATCTTACTTACTGGAAAAGGTAAATGCAACAGAAAATTTCTTTTCTTTTTTCTTTAAAATATATATATATATATTTTTTTTAGTTTTCGGCAGACACAACATCTTTGTATGTGGTGCTGAGGATCGAACCTGGGCCGCACGCATGCCAGGCGAGCGCGCTACTGCTTGAGCCACATCCCCAGCCCAGAAAAATCTCTTTTCAATCAGCACCCATCTTAATTACAAGAAGCATTTTCCCACTTACAACTTTTGTCATCAAAAAAACCTCCAAAACCACAGCTGCTAGACATATAATTTTAAAAAGTTCCTTTTTAAAGTCAAATGTCATTAATGGGTGGGTAAGTTAATAAAGAATACCCAGGACAAATGCTAAGTGAATGTGTGGCCCCAAAGCCCCCAAAAGAGAAAGTAGATAGGGATTGTTTTTTTTTTAGGATTCAAGATAAACAAAAGGCAAGATTTTCATCTGTAGACATTGGGTAGTGAAACTACAGAATACGAAAGACAAAATATAACTGTAGGGAGTGAGAAAACACATTATTTTCAAAGGAACACATTAAGAAGCATGGATTAAAAAAAGCAAGAAAACAGTAGATTAATATCTTCAGTGGACCAAGAGATAATACTTCTTGATCTAAAATTATATATAGCAAAAATATCTTTTGTAAAAAAGCTAATGAGACATCCTCCCTCCCCCCAATGCTTTATTTGGTTTATTTAGTTTTATGTGGTGCTGGGGATCAAACCCAGAGCCTCACACATGCTAGGCAAGTGCTCTAATACTGAGCTATAACCCCAGCCCCTCATGAGACATTTTGACTAGGAAAAAAAATTGGAGCTTGCCAGCAAGCTGATTCTCACAGAGGCAAAAGGAAAGAGATTCTACATTGAGGTTCTGGGAGGAAAGAAGGATAAATAAATTAATAAACATCTAGATAAATTTGAACACTTTACAAGGACAGTAGTTGTAATAGTGAAGAAAAAAGAAATGCATGATAATTATAGCATTTTAACTTGAAGTGATAGAGGTGGTAGGAAGTGTCTAAATGTTCTTTGCCTTTTGATAATAAGACTGAATAACTTTTTAGAATTTGATAAATTAATTGTGTAATCACTAAAAGAATAAAAAAGTATAAGACCTCCAAAGAAAAATGGAGGAGGCGGGAATTATAGAATAAGAGTAGTTTCCTACCCAAAAGTTTGCAAAACAGAAAAGGCATAAATCACAAGTGGGACAAAAAGTATAGTAGAAATACAGTAGAATAGGGCTGGGATATATCATTGTTAGAACTTAAAAAATATTTATATTTTTGAACAAAAACTAAATAACACCATAAAACAAGATGTGCACAGTGAAACTAAAAATGCAGATGGAGAAGTATTGTCTTTTTTTTTTAATGTGTATTTTTTGGTTGCAGTTGGACACAATACCTTTGTTTTATTTATTTATTTTTATGTAGTGCTTGAGGATTCAACCCAGGACATCGCACACGCCAGACGAGCATTTTACCTCTGAGCCACAACCCCAGCCCCATATTGTCTTTGATTGCTAAAAAAGGAAGACTTGGGCTGGGGTTGTGGCTCAGTTGTAGAGTGCTCCTTTAGCACATGAGAGGCTCTGGGTTCGATCCTCGGCACCAAATTAAAAAAAAATAAATAAATGAAACAAAAGTATTGTGTCAAACTATAATTAAAAATAATTTTTTTTAAAGGAAGACTTAAAAATGAAGAATCTGATATGTATCTAACATAAAAGCCAATACAATTATATATATAATAAACGGGAATCCCAAAGATGAGAGTAGAAGATTGGAGATGTAGCTCAGTGGTACAGCACTTGCCTAGTGTGTGTGAAGTCATGAATTTGATCCCCAGCATTGGAGGGTGGAAGGGGGAAGACAAGAAATAAATAGGACAGAAAGGTGATATACAGAGGAGAGAATTAGTAGGTTTTCAAAAAGGTTCTTATGAAAAAAATTAACTGGAGATGAAGTGCATCAAGAAAAAGAACATACACAAGCAATTTTAGGGAAGGAAAAAAGAGGCTTAGATGAAGTAGAAATTTAAAAGATTAAAAGTAATTATAAACAACTTTGCCAATAAATTAAACTTTTGTAATGTGGACACATTACTAGAAAAATCTAACCAAGTCTGTCTCAAGAAAGACTTGAATTTTCTTTTAATAAACATTGATTCAGTGGTTAAGTCTCCTCCCAAGCCGATAGGGGTGACACATGCCTATGATCCCATTGGCTTGGGAGGCCAAGGCAGGAAGAGCACAAGTTCAAATCAGCAACTTACTGTGATATTGTCCCCCCCCCCCCCCAACCACAAAAAAAAAAAAAAAGCGGTAGGTGGGGATTTGCTGGGATGTGGCTCAGTGAATAAGTGTTCCTAGGTTCAATTAAGACAGAGGGAGAGACTTCCCTCAAAGAAATCCTGGGCCTTGAGTGGCAAGTTCTACTAAACACTCATGATTGTAATCTTGTACTGACTTTTCCAGTCTGTGGATATGGGTAGAAGAAAGCATAAGCCTCAAACCTTTATAAAGTCAATATAACTTTGATACCATAAATTACCAGATACATATATTTTGGGGATGTAAAAGAAAGGGAAGGTGGCACAGAGAAGGTTTTGACAAATGCAAACATTTCTTTAAATTTTAAAACAAAACATAAAACAGGCATAGAAGAGAACTCAGTTACCTGGATAATGGGTATATTAAAAAAAGTACAGCCAGCATCATACTTAATTGTGATAAAATGAAAGCATTTTCTCTTCAGATTAGGAATAAATCAAGGAATGTTTACTATCACAGAAGGTTAGCAAATTCAGTAGCTATGGATGATGTGGTGATTGTTGGTTAGTGGTAGTAACAGTAGTAAACACTTGGAACAGTGCTTTATAGATGGTTTGCATATATTATTCCATTTAATCCTTAAAACAGTTGTAGGATGCATTTTATGGAAACAGGTAGAAAGGAAGTAATTTATTTATTACACAGTAAGTCAAACAGAATTTAAGCCAAGGCAGTTTTGTATTAGAATATCATTAGAAAATATTTTTAAAACCTAGTAGTAAATAAATAAATAAAACCTAGCGGGAAATATAGAACCCTTTATGTAGAAAATATCTAAAAATCATATACATTATTGAATAACATTTTATTTATTTTTTTTAAATTTTTTTTTTAGTTGGTGATAGATCTTTATTATTTATATGTGGTGCTGAGAATCAAACCCATTGCCTCACACATGCCAGGCAAATGTGGTACCCTTGAGCTCCAGCCCCAGCCCCTGAATAACATTTTAAATAACTAACGAGGCATACCACATTCATGGTTATAGTAAAACTGAGAGGATGTGGTTTTGTAGCCTGCATGAGTCCCTGGGTTCAATTTCTAGTAGAAGGAAGGAAGGAAGAGGATATCTAATACATCTGCCAAAGTATTAGTATGTTGAATACATAAACAACTCCTGTGAAAGGAAGTATAAGACAAAACGAACAGAAAACTGGGCACAGGACTTGGTATTACACAAATGAAATAGCTCATTAAATGAAAACATGTTAAAAAAATTTGATAATCAAGGAAATATAAATTAAAATTGCATTTTCTACCCATTATTGTTAAAAATAGAATAAAATCTGTTGTCAGATGTTGAAGAAGAATTGAAATGTTGGTTGTGGTATAAGTAGTTCTAACCACATTGATTAATAAATTGGCATTTTTGAGTAAAGGTGAAGATAATCCCATTCCTATATCCTAGCAACATGACCTAGAAAACTTTAGGCGGTATACCCTGGCAAGTACAGCAGTGTTTGTAATAGCAAAGAGTGGATAAATAAAACTTGTATATTCACATGTTGGAATAGTATACCTAAATTATTTTAAATAAAGTCCCCTAACTACATGTGAATCTCAGTTACTCAGTGTTGAGCAAAAACTTGGAGAATACGTTGTGTGGGTGGGGGTTGTTTTTGTGGTATTGGGGATTGAACCCAGGGATTTTATATTACTGAGTTACGCTAAATTTTCTATCCTTCTCTCTCAGTCTGAAGTCGTTGAGGGTTATTGGCATGTGCCACTATACCTGGCATGTGCATGTGTTTTTATGATGAGTTGTTGAGCAATATGTTCAAAGATGCAAACAGATAGCAAAACCATGAAGTGTAAAGAAAAAAGGGAATAATAAACTACAAATTAAGGCAGGAGAGAATAAAATGGGAGTTAGGTAGGACTGGAAAATGTCATACAGGTGAATTCATAGGAATTGATGTAACATTCTTGTAATATGTGATGCACTGATTTTTGTTGTCTTTAAAATTTTTTTAAAAATTTATTGGTATTAGAGATTGAACCCAGCGGTATTTAGCAACTGAGCCACATATTCAGCCATTTTAATTTTTTATTTTGAGACAAGGTCTTGCTTAGTTGCTTAGGACCTTGTTCAGTTACTAGGCTGTCCTTGAACTTGGGATCCTCCTGCCTTAGCCTCCGGAGCACCTGGGATTACAGGCATGCACCACCACACCCTACAGTTGTCCTTTTTGGATGCCTTTATGTATATTTGATAATGCATATATATGGTTTTTAGTATTTAACTGAAATAAAACCACAAGCTCTATCAGCTTGTTTGGGGTGGATGGTTTTCTTCAAGAATTAGTGATACTTGGCTGGGGATGTGGCTCAAGTGGTAGCGTGCTTGCCTGGCATGCGTGCGACCTGGGTTCGATCCTCAACACCACATACAAATAGAGATGTTGTGTCCGCCAAAAACTAAAAAAATAATATTAAAATTCATTCTCTCTCTCTGTCTCTCTTAAAAAAAAAAAAGAATTAGTGATATCTGGGTGCAGTAGTGTGTGTCTATAATCTGAGAGACTCAGGAGGCTGAAACTTAGTGAGACCTTAAGCAACTTAGTGAGACCCTGTCTCAAAAAAAATATATTAAAAAGACTGTGGATGTGGCTCAGTGGCTGAGAAGCCCTGTGTTCTATTCCTGGCACCCCACCTCACCCCACCCCATCCCACACCAAAAATGTTGATATTTGCAGGAAACAGTTAACAACTTTAATAGCAGTTGCTATCTTTCAGAATGCCTTCTTCCTCCATACTTGAGAAAAATTTTCATTGTGGAATTTAAAGAGACTTGAGTAATTCCCATTCTTTAGCTATTGGGGTAACTCTAGGAGCCCTTTCATTGGGAATGTGAGAAGATTATCAAAGTACAGCCTTTTGGTCATGTTAGGCTGGTTATTACATGAGGAGTAGAGTTTTTTGTATGCTTTTGGTATTCTATTCTGCTTTATTAATATATTTCTCCGTTTTTTCTTTCAGACAGAAAATTTGTTGTGGGATTATCTATAAAGGCCGTTTTGGAGAAGTCCTCATTGACACACATCTATTCAAGCCTTGCTGCAGCAATAAGAAGACAGCTGCAGAGAAGCCAGAGGAGCAGGGGCCCGAACCTCTGCCCATCTCCACTCAGGAGTGGTGACTGAGGTTTATGTAGAAGGGGAACAAATGATTTAAATTTTGAAAAGACCACAAAGCAACAAACTGACCTTACTATTTTTAACTTGGATACCTGCTATTCTGCCAAAAGACAATTTTCTAGAATAGTTTTGAATGGGTTATTTTTTCCTCCAGTCCCATAAACTTTGAAGCCAGTGTCTAGCTTACTAAAAGAAAAAAGAAGTGTACATAATATTTAAGATGCTGAGTATTTCATAGGAAAGCTGAATGCTGCTGTAAAGTGCTCTTTAAGTCTTTTTTTTTTTTTTAATAATCCCCTTCTAATGAATTAAATAAAGGGAATTTCAGGGGACACAGATGGGATTTGTTGTATGATAAACCATATGTAGTTTTTAGTCTTTCTATATTGAGAAGCAGTGGTTGGGGCATTTTTTAAAGATGGCTGGCTACACTTGTTTTCCCTCATGTTAGTAGATTTGTCATAACTCAATAACACGTCTTGCCCCTAGTGGTAGTTGTTAATAATTTTGAAATAATTGAGTCTCTCCAACTTTCTGATGAATCAAACCTGTACTACTGATGATTAAGCAGGACAGACTGAGCTTTTTGGTGCAAATACCTTGACGGAGGAAGTAATTTCTAATTATATAGAGAGAAGCTTGACTGTATGTGTTGCATCCTGTGTCACCTTCCTTCATATTAATATTTGTTAAAGATTTTAATTTATGTGAATCTTTTCAAGCAGAATGAAATCTCCTCTTGGAGAAGAGGTGAGTAGGTGGGATAGATGAGATCTTATATGAATAGTACCAAAGCATTACCACACCGTGGAAAACACACTCTTAAAAATGTTAAACTATGTGCAAGTCTTCAGGATGGCACAAAACAAAGGTTAATGCTTCTTGGGCACGTTGCTTGTCGGGCTTGCCCGAGTGTGTAAATAATTGACTTTATTTGTGTTACATGACTGGTGACTTCATTGAAATCTTCACAATTCAGTTTTAGCTCTGGATTACTTCACTTGACCTTTGTGAAGGTTCTATCTGCATAGAGTAGGTGTTTGACTTGTTTTAACCTGTTGGGCTTTTGGGTTTTTTTTTTTTTTTTTTTTTCACTTTTTAAAAAAAAAATTTACTAAGAAGAAAGGTGGGTTCATGCTAGGGGGGGGTTAGTGTTGGTTTGGCTTCTTTTATAGTCAGTCTTTCTGAACATTGAGATAATGCTGAAACTGGAGCTTTTAATTCTAAAATCCTTATTAAAAGCCTCTTATTGAACCCAAACCAAAGTATTCTTATTGCTTCTTTTCTAAAAATTCAGGAAAAAAATAGCACCAGTTCAAACTTTCCATACATGAGGGAGGAATATTTGCCTGCCTTGTAATAACATGACTCAGTGCTTATTTTTAAAACTGGATTATAAAAATTGGATAGCATCACAGTAAGGAGTGAGCCACTTTTTATGGGTACCCTATGGTTTTATAGTTCTTTAAAACTTATTTTATATTTCTTCCTTTTGAGAAAATACCTACATGCTACAAGCCACCATATGCACAGACTACACAGTGAGTTGGGTCGGCTCTCCCATAGCCTTTGAGGTGTATTACAAGAGTCCAGCCATTATCATTCTCCTGAGTTATTTTGAAATGGGTTTTTTTTTTTTTTTTTTTTA